GCGTGTCCGGCATGATTCACAAATCACCTAACGTCGGTATTCTTTCGTTACCTTAAAACCTGTACGTATATAGGTTCACGTCCATAAATCACTAGACACTTCTAAGTTTTCAAAGGCTTGGGTGTCCTACAATATTTCACATTTTCTACAAATGGATGAGCCTCGTGTTACACCCGATGACTTCAATTTAATCGATCAATTTGATTTAATCAAAAATGTTCAAAACGCTTCTTATTCAACTGATTACAGCGCACTGGAGTTGATTTACACAAAACTGCCAGATGAGATAACAAAAAGTAGAGACTTCGAGCTTTAATATCAGTTAAGAATTAAGTAAATCGGTCCATTATTAACGATGTTATTAACAATTGAAGTTAAACGATGTTTGTGGTGGCGATAGCTTTAATTTTTACGAATAAGGATTTTTTCCCTTCATTAAGGACAACACTTTGTGTTCGACCGTCATAAAAGATAGACCTAACTCCATTCTTTTTATTGTACACAATTTTGTTATATGGTATTCACAGAATAAATTGTTATTATAAAACCGAACCCACTTTGATATCATACTAATTAGACAAGGTTCAACCTTCATTTTCACTTATTAATACTGAATTTAGGTAAAATTGCTTCATCTTCTTTGATCAGTTTTCTACAAAGGCATACGACGCTCGTATTATATCCTGCGACACGTTGAAAAATACCTTTATTTTTTAACGGACGTATTGAACAATCATTGGCGAGCAATTAGCTGGCGATAATACGGCAAACAAGCAGAGTTTGCAAACATCGGCTGTGTTAACTCCGCGATTGGATCATTACCGCTTGGTGGACCAAAGCGGCCGAGCAGATTCGACGCTCCCGGAGATTTTCACGCTCAGTCATCCGGGAAAACGTGGACGGTTTAATCAAATTGAACTGCGTTCCGCGGGAAATATTCATTGAGCCCTGGCTCTCGAGCCAGCTACGACGATTATCCGTAAACGAGTTAAATATTCCTCGAAATCGAATCGTATTTCAATTCAGGTTTCAGTATTAAGGGAGTAAACTCTGATAGCGACGCGATGTCAATGTTACTTGGATATTGTTGGAGTACATGAATATTTCTTTAAGTCTTTGTGAAAAAATCTTACATCTTCATATTTTTTTGTATTCAACAATCTAATCTAGTTTGTCAATACATTTTTTCTATACTTTCGTTTCATTCGAAGCAACTGAACTAAAAACTGAAACTTTCCCACAGAAGACTGTGAACAAACAAAAGACGGAACGAACTGAGTAATGAACGTTACGTATTAATCGAGATAACTTGATCAGGGTGCGAAAGACTGGGATACTCGGTTCGCAAGGGAGCCGCGGTAGCTAAAACGCATTTTCTCGGTAGCAGTGGGCCACCTCTTCTAGTCAGCATGATGTCGACCAGATGAAATCCTAGATCGACGGTTACCATAACGACCAACGGTTCTCCCTTTATTATTTTTCTACCCCAACGTCGCTGCGACCCCATGTCCCTCCGTTCCATGCGATTACAGGCCGAAGTTCCGATCCCATTCAAAATCCCCAATGCGGCGTTCTGTCTTTCATTTTTTTTGATCGCTTTCCCTCCAGAGGCAGACTTTGTTTCCAACGATTCCTGGCCTGGTAATAATATTTCAATTCACATTCGAGACCGATTACGAGCCTCCCTACCGAATTACAGATTAGGGGCGAGACGAGCTCAACAGCAATTGCTGAAGAATAATCAAGTTCAATGGGAAATCTGTCGATTTTACCAGTTCATTTAAACGTTTCCTAATTCAGTTTAAACGTGGACAGATGATGTTCTTGGCTAAATATAATACGTTACAATAAATAATAAATACTTTGATTGTGATCAGACTTTGGATTTGATGCGTTCATACATATAGAAGACTGAATATGCGTAATACATGAAGATTGTATGCAGTGTAAGAAAATATACGGAATATCAAACGCCGAGTTCAAATTGCAATTAAATTGCATCCTTTAATTACGTCCTTCACTTTTTTCTTCAGGACTAATACTTTTTCTGGGACACCCTATACATTATACATTTCATTATGGGAAGAATCATAATTGCGTGAATCGACGTTGTTAAAATTTTCACCGAAGGAATGCGATCGATCATGATGATTAACAAATTCATTGTTGTTCAATTCGTAGAAGCTTATAAATAAAAAATTCATGACTAAGATCAACCATCATCCAGGAGTATATGACTAACAATGCACATCGCATTTCATTGCACCTGCGTTTATTTTTTCAATGAACGCTCTACCTATCAGGAGGTAATTGTCGTCTTTAGATCAATTTACGGCATGGATTTCTTCCAACTCATTGTGCAAAAAAGAATAAATGTTCCTACTGGTTGCAATCCATAATTGGATTCGGAGTTAATGATGTAACACGATGAATGAATCAGAGGATATTGTGCGTTCACGGACGATGCGCCAGTTCAATTATCGAACTTCGCACTCACATTCGTATAACGAGCACCATACACGAACAATGCACTTACTGATCATTGCACTTTACTACTATAAGTAGACTGTGGATCGTTGTAGAAAATTTGTATTTATTGTATATATAATCTCTAAAAGTACATAAAACAATTAATGTAGACTTCCATTTAAAAATTTGGAGCACTGGCTACTTCTTGACCGCGAATGATTTCACACATATGCAGATATTTTTCTGAAAATGTGATACTTACATATTATTATTATACTATATTAACATGTTTTATGGTTCAATTTAAAAGTAGAGGTTGTTTAGAGTAGAGATTGTTTTTAAATTATTAACGAAAAACACTGATCAATCAGAGCACGTGTAGGGCCCGCGACCAGCCACTGGACTATTGGCTCGGATCGCAACGCTCGGCCGTGGAACAGCGCGGGGATCCTACGCGTGCTCTCATTGTTTTTCTCAGTGTTTTTCTTTAATAACTCAATAACCATGCCTCATGTTACATTTTACCAAAAAAAATGATTGTTCAAAAACACCTACAGAATCACTCATTTTCGGCTCTAACACTTTTTGGTCTAATAAGTAATAATTAATAAAACAACGTTCAATATGTTACTGCGATAATAAAATTTCCAATATATTACCAGAGAGAAAGTCTTCTCTCTGATATTACTGTATTGATAAAAATCATTTTGTGATACTGAAAACCGTTCGAATATATGATCTCACGATTACCTTCTAGGTATCTACTTCTATAACTATTCAAAATGTCATCTAGGCATGATAAGAATTAATGTAAATTCTGTACTAATACAAGTCTGGTTAAAAAATCTTTTCTAAAACCCTGGGAAACAGTTTTTGGTCGAACGATAAGGCGACAGATGAAGACAACGTTCAACATATTACGGCAACAATAATCCAATATATTACTGCATCATTACTAAAAATCTTTCGCCTATATGATCTCATGATTATTTTTAGTACTACCTCCGCCTTCAAGGAACAAAGGAATTGTTCCACGTTACATAAAAAGAAAACAGTTTCTACGTAACGCTTTCTTCTATTCAGACGACTCGCTGCAAATTGCTGGCCGTTAACCATGAGAAATTTTCGTCGCTGACGTAGATTACGATCGTAGACGATTAAGTCATGGTTTACAATCAATGAGCAGGCGATCGACGGGTCGAAATCGGATCGGATCGATCACCGATTTTCATCGTGATGATTCACAGTTACGTAAAATGAAAATTGTTCACGTAATCGGTCGTTTCGTCGACACGCAATCAGTAAAGATAATGGATTTCCACGATGGGAAATCTTCTGTCCAGGTCGACGACAACCGAGCGTCTCCTCCTACGCGACACACTTTCGATCCTCTTATTATGTATTAATTTTAATAAACGACGTTTCATCAGGCTTGGCTGATGCAACGATCAACCGTACGATAATAAAAATGAAAGTTGCTTACTCTGATCAACTCAACAATTTTGTTTCTTCGCATTAGGATTTATACTTGTCGTGCTCATTGAGAGACTAAGGTAATTACGTGACTTTTCCAACATTTGTCGGTAAAATCTTGACGTTTTTTGCTGTATTTTATCGATAATCAGACAACAATGGTGCAAAACGAGGATTTACATGACTACACTTTTCGTCCTTCTATAAGAAGATTTTTTGCTAATTTTGTGGGTGAGTCTACACCCTTCAAGGGAGTGACTGTATACCTCCATAAAAAATTAAAATCGTCTGGTCCAATTGTAAAAAACTATTCTGTTTTAGATGGTATTCACTTAATATTATCCCAGACTGGATGTCCACGTCACAATTTTTACTCACTGCCATTTTTTCTACAATTTTATATGCAATCAGAAATTGTGACATAAACAGAACTTTGGATATTAATTATACTACATTTTCATTATATTGCAACGAGCAAATAAACCTCTTTACAAATATGTACATCTGCACGTTCGTTGGGACGGTTCTGATGCATTAGAACTCAGGAGACGTCTGAGAGAGGAATGAGAAAGGTTTCTTCCTACTTTACGCAGCGTAGCGTTGTTTCATGTCGTAAATGTTATAAAGGAAGCAATTTTTTTCACTTTACCAAGTCTTGTCACACACGACAATAGTATTCTTTGGAACAATCTTTCCGTGCGAGTTAATTTATATGACACGCGTATTTTGAAGATGACAAAAGAATTAAAAGCGCAAACGCGATAAAATATACAGAATGGATCAGCAGATTATTTTCTGCATGAAATGAAGTTGACGGACGATGAAACACAAAGGAAGTTACGCAATAAATCGTGTGCATCGTTCAGCTATGACGCGAGCTATTACGATCAAGAAACGGACGGTTTCTTTTAAAAAAACCTGAACCGCTTATTCCTTCAAGGTCCCTCGGTCACCTTGGTGTTCGCACCTTTTTCCTACGCTAGAAAAATTGTTCCAACGGACGCGTCGCGAAGGAGCAACACGTTCCATTCGACTGTTGCGCAAAAGTAGCTACCTAGCTATTTCCTTATATGACCAACGACGCCCGCTGCAACGAAAATATAGAGCGCGACCTTCTTCAAAGTGGGCTCACGTAGACCAAGGCCTATGAGTAAACTGCAGATCTTCTATATTTATAAGGAAATTCAATATAAGGAAAATATGAAACTGCATATATAAACATATACAGAANGTCATCGACAACCCTACTGCACTCAATTTTATTTGTAGTCAGAGGACAACTAGAATCCACGTCAATAGCATAGTTGAAATTATTTTCGGCTTCGACTTTACAAATGTCTTGAGGGTTTTCTTCAAGTACCCCCTTTTTTTCTGTTGTTGAATTAAAATTAATAACATTAAAAATAAACCTTTTTTTCAATAAATACTTTACAGGCATTGTATTTTATTACTACTCACGAGCTGCATCTTTGTCACAGTCTGTCGTCTCTGTTTTAATAGACGAAATCACATTACAGGACGTTTCCTCTTGCATTCTACTGTCAATATCGTCCTTTGATCTTTCTGCTGCTATTAGAAATAAAAAAAAATAATAATTAATAATTATAAACTTTTCTATGGACGTATAAATATATTTTACTGATATACAATATTTAACAATGTAATTTGCGAGATATACATACATTTTGCAACACTGATGTCAAATCGATCGACATTTTGTAAACATTCAGATATTCTTTTTGTTGCGTAACAATGATCTAACATTATATCATTGATACATTTCTGAAACTTGGGAGGACTTCTCTCTCTCAACAAATCGTTCCTTTTAAATATTGCTGGAACAGCTCCTGCTTTTAAATGATGGTGTTTTAGTGGAACCTATAATGNTAATTTGTTGAATTCATTGAATATATTCAAAGTGTCTAGAATAAAACTCTTTAGACAGATTTCGAATTACATTCACTATAGTCCAATAAAAAATGTCAAGAAGCTAAAGTGGGTTTATCTCGTAAAAGCTTTCAAATGCTAAACGAAAGTACCATGCAGTATCATAAAAATGTTTATTCTCATCAGATTACCTAGGGCGTCGGATGCACCTGTCGTAAGCGGTGGATCCATCTTCTCCTGGGGCACAAAATTCAAATACACCGGTAGGACGGAGAAGGAGGTATTAGAGGAAACGGGTCCACTGCGTAAGGAGGAACCACCTATACAGCGGTGTCAAACCACGTGTCTTAGAAGAAAAGCTAGCAGCGTGCCAGCCACCCCGAGTACACCTAGTCAAGATCTCGTTGAAATAAGTTAGCATCTTTTCTCCTATTTAATCTCCTCTCATCACTAGACTGCGGATCTTCATGCATAATAGATAATAAAGAATGCACAATTTGTAAAGTACATGAATGTAGAAAATGAAATCCAAGTAGAAATTTCGTTCGTATTTTAGACATCATAGTATGCATTTCATTTTCTGTGATATTCTTCTTTTCTTGGACATTGAATGAGATTTTTATGATTCCTGTACGTACCGTGTTTTTGTAAAAGCATAAAATCCGTAGTCTGCTACATAAAATAGTGTCTAGATACATGGTCTGTGATTCAATGGCCATATATCCGGAGACTGCTGTAAATAGCTTTGCATTATCATTCTTTACCTAATTAAAGTTGTGTCCGGATAAATGGCCACTGAATCAGAGTTCGGCCATACACCCGGGCACTATCGTAAATAACTAAGGATCATTCTTTATCTAATTACTAGACTGTAGATCTTTATGTTAAAGAAAATGAAATCTAAATAGGGATTTCATTCGTATTTTAAAAATCATAATATTACTCCTTCTGTCCGAAAATAAGAGTTCCATTTGAAAGTTTGTTAGGAGTTGAAAAATAAGAAAAACGGATCGAGTCTTCTTTGATAAACATATGTTTATTATTGTTTAAAACGTCAAAGAAATGTCAAATTCCCAACAAATCAATTTTAAGCGCAAAACCACNGACAGCATATATATAATGCAAATATGGGACTAAAAAATAAGTACAGAACATTTATACGTCCCCTATTTCTTAAATCAGGGACAGGCTCTTGAAATACAGAACTGTCTCCGAAAATACAGAACGGATGGTCCACGTATACTATGTATAGTAATCTAGTATGGTAAATAGTTAACCAGTTCTTATTAGAATTATTGTTTGAAAGCTACGTTTTAAATTTCTAGGATATTGTAGTTTGCCACGTAGCGGTCACAGCGCAGGTTTAGACGGCGCTGGAATGTCGGAAGGCAGCACTAGTATTCCATTTAGCTCGCCTTACTGTTCAGACAACACTTTGCCACCCCTAGAGCCCGTCTCGGAGGACCAAGAAATCCATGGAAGGAAAAACAATGGTTGGTTCTACTACTCAATTCTTTTTCAAACACCTCTCGAGTTTTAAATCCTACCGTTCGATTATTATTACTTATTTAGACGTTTGTTTTGACTCGAGACGCATGGCTTGTCACGTTCGTTCGTTAATTATTACCTTTACATCTTTCGATCTCTCACGTATCAACAATTCTTTCAGTCTCGATATAGTCAAGGTTCTAACTGCGACGGTTATTACGAAAATGAAGAAAGAGATTTTCATTGATATTATCACATCACATTTATTGTTAGATTCTAATATTACTGAAGAATTTTTATCTCCATAATTTTTTCACTTGTTCAGTAAATAAATACCCTAATTTATACGCACTGATCTAAAA